TATATATATATATATATATATATATATATATATATATCGATATGCGTAAAGATTCGACGTGCAGACATTGTATCGCGTTCATCATCTCCCGAAGAAGACGAAGAAGAAGAGAGGGCGAATTCATGGACCATATTGTATTCGAACTGACGTTTCGGAAACTGCCTCGTTTCCATCATCAGAGTAGCGTAATTGTTGCACTTGCCGGTCTTGAGTTGTTCAGTCTTGCCGCTTGCCTCGTATTATAGCCGTGCTGGATGTACGAACTTTGACCTGCCTGTTTGCCGCTGACTGGCTTAGACCTCCCCGGAGCTGACCGCTGACAGGCCTGCGTGACCTTTGTTCCCATTGGGGTCGGCTTAATTGTGGTCAGACGTGCATTTAAAACATTCCCTCCCGAACCCTCCGAAAGACTTTTTGGCGTCTTCGCAAGACCCCCTTGTAATATGGTATGCCTGCAACTTCATCATAGATGAAAAAGGATTTTTACCTGCTGGAACAGGTGTAACGCAGAGAAACGAAGATAGTCAACGGTCCAAAGCATTTGTTGTACCGGGTGAGGCTGAATGTGTTTGGCTTATTCCCTCTCAATTATAGGCAGCTTTACTGCAATCTACTCTGCACATTCTGGATTGTCCGTGGCCAAGGTTGCTCACTAAAAACGGAGAACTTTTTGACCTTGCCAGTACAAACCAATTACGTGGTCATTCCTACAAAGTCAAGGGCGAACGCACTTGGCTAGATCGTAGGTAGTTTTCCTTAAGCCAGCGAGTTGTCCGACCATGGAACTCGCTACCAAGTGAGATTGTGACGGTCGAAAATATTTGCATGTTTAAAAGAAAACTTGCTTGCTTAATTTTCAACAGATGTCGGCCTTTACAACATGACTACTCACAGTCAGCTCTGTAAAATACTTGGTCATACACAGTCGTTCTGTGCTGACTTTCAGTGAACAGATGCGCTTCCTTACCACTGCGCTTGTGGTGTGAGGCGATCACATCGCAAATATATGCAACATTATTTTGAGTGCGAGTCTGCGAAAGCATTGTACATAAATAAAGTCATTAAGGGCTCTGCCTCCTGCTCTTTAAATACGTGCAATACAGCGACACAGTCGAAGATGCGAGTCTCAGGAACTAGTTGATAAGATGAAGAAGAAGAAGAAGAATAGAAAGAAGAAGAAGATGACGACGATGACGACGATGATGGTGATGAAGATATGAAGCGATCGCTGGAAAAAGGGTTTTGTTTACCTGGCGTTTCGGATTCTCACTTGAACCCAGAATCAGATACACTGACAGAAACGGGTGATTTGCGCACAGGAAGTCACAGTATTTATAGGATGCGGCCGCTGTGCTGCCGCATATTTATTGTAATTAACCGCGCTCCCCTTCATCAAGAACTGTTGTCCGCCGGTGCGTTAATTGCTTGATGGCCGGCATGCAAGTTATTAATTGCTGAAATCTCATCACCCGTGTTGGATGCTGTATTGGTGATTGCTCGGCCATCTGGCTCATCAGCTTGTGCGCTCCCCGAGTGGCTAGTTACTTCCGCCAGACTATGCCTCAGCACGGAATATGGAGTGGGGATGTCGTTGCATCTGTTGATAGACTGAGGTTCCATGAACCATGACTCAAGCAACTCGCGGCTTACACGAGTAGTTCCTCTCGCGGGAATTTCAGCCTCATCGAATGTGAACGTATGGCCGGGTCGCTTCGAATGGGCCGCGACCTGAGAGCTAGCGTCATTTCTCCGCCCCACTGCCGCGTGTTAGGCAATTCGCGTCTTCCGCAGTCTACCAGTTTCGCCGACGTATTTGCTTTGTCCGCAACCGCAGCAGATCCAGTAAACGACGCCAGATGTTTCTCGCCGCGGCAGTGGGTATTTTGGTCTCATCACCTGACGCCTTATGGTAGCTTCCGGTCTGTGTGCAACTCCGACCCCGAGTGATGCAAGAAGGCGACTAACGGCCTCAGAGACGTTCTTGATGTACGGGATCGCTCGCCAGAATTTGATGTCGGTACGGTTTTATCGCTCGTCTCGTTTGCGAATGCAACGGTTGACGTAGTTTCGCGGGTAACCATTTTTCCTGAGAACCCGTCGAAGATATTGGACTTCGGTAAGCTTATCTTCTTGTTCACTGCAGTGCGTTTCAACACGCCGATATAGCATTCTTACGCAATTGCGCTTGTGGCTGATGGGGTGGTTGCTGTCGAAGTTCAGTATTTTCGTCGTGCTCATCACTTTTCTTCATTTAGCCTGGGCCGTCACCCTTCAAGGTTAGGTAACCAGACAGTCATCGACGGAGTCGTCGACTGAGAGTCACTACCTATAGAGTAAACACATTCTCCTCGCATATATTTTAGCGTCACAGATCGCTGGAGAAATGGCCGCTTCAACCTGAATCTCACCTCACCATTCCGTCCCTCCAAACAGACACACACAAAACTGGGCGGACTGCGTGAACTGAGTTGGGGCGTCAGTCGGCTCCTTTCCAGGCCACGGCGCTTGACGCACCGTGGCAGTCTCGGACACCGATCACAAATGCAACTGGAAGCCGCATATAGATGGGGGCTGAGATGCACGCTTCCAACTTGTTTGGGGGATGGCGGTTGGATGCTTGAGATGGGCGATGTTGATGTCTGATGAAATGCTGGTGAGGGAGGATGTCGTGGTGTGGTGCAGACGGCGGTCGTATACCGCAGGTTTTCGTGGATGCACATGTGGCCTGATGGACCCATGAGGTGAATAAATGTGTGAGTGCAATGTGGAGAGTGGAGGGGGGGGGGCGTGCAACGAGTGTAGGTGGTGTTCCATGCACTGGGTCGCCAGTCTCTGTGCGATGGATTCGCAAGTGACCGACTGGGCCTATGCTTCAGTTGAATGTGCGGGGACAGTATGGACATGAGAAGTCGGTTGCGTCGGTATCAGCTTCGGTGGTGGTAGTGGCGGTGGTGGTGGTGATGGCGTTTGCGGTGGACTGTGTGGTGTGATTTGGGCTGAGCATAATGGGCATGCAAGATGTACTGAGTGTGGTGGAGATGTTGGCTGCAGGCGCGCTGGTCTGCTTAAAGAGGGTGGGACTAGGCATGGTGGGTACGCTGTGTGAGTCAGGGCTGTGGTAAATTCTCTTCTCAGGTATACGCATGTGGTCGATTAGGGGCCAGATGTCGTTAATGAAAATAACAATTGGTATATTGTTTCCTCGGGGGTGTTTGTTAACTATTTGAGATGTACATTCACGATGGTGGCGAATTTGCCTCTCTGGAGAGGCAGGCTGAAACTTATCAGGCGATCGTTGATGCCCTGCGGGAGACAGGGCAGTACTCCTTCGAGGTCGTTCTTGATGGCAAAGGCGAAGCCTGCGTCCCGTCACTCTGCCTTGGGTCGGCAGCTCCCGAAGAAGGTGTAGCCGGCACCCACCTCCTCCAGTTGGCCTTGTTCGGAGAAGGGGTCTCGCTGAGTGCAACGATGTCCAAGTTGTAGCTTGCTAGTTCGCAGACCACTAGCGCCGTCCTCCGTTCCAGTCGGTTGCTCCTCTGATTGTCCAAAAGGGAGCAAACATTCCGAGCTGCCAGATTGAGCGGACTCACCCGACCAGTCTGGCGAGCGGAACAGCAGGAAGGAGGATTAGGAGGAGGAGGAGGAGGAGGAGGAGGAGGAGGAGGAGGAGGAGGAGGAGTGTCTGTTGTCTCGACTTTGATTGTTTCGACCGTGAAGTTTTCGTCCGCGGTCACGGTCAGACTGCAGACGTCGTAGTTCCCAACAATTGTTTAGGGCACCATTTCTAGTCCCCCCTCCCGTTGATGAGAAGTGTCATCCCTAACTATGGCTGCTCAGTTGTTGCAGGCGACTGCCGAAATCCACTATGGGCCACTTATCCCGTGTATTAGGAGAGTGACTGGTGTTAGCCAGGGAATGCCTACGACGACGCGTAAGCAAGTGTAGAGAGACGTGAAGCATTGCTTTCCCGTTAGTTCTCTAGTTTTATTGGGTAATGAAGCAGGAGTGCGGAGCAGGCATACACAATAGAACGACTTTTGACTACAGTAGAGCCGTACACGCCAAAATGCAGACAAAAGCAAGTAGGCAAGGATAACAATAGGCAAAGGCAACACAGGACATCCAACAGAGCGGTAAATAGCGTTCAACAAAGACAAACAAAAACAAACAGACAGAGAGCATGCAACAAGAACACGCAGAACAAAGGCGGCAGGGTAACGTGTACCTACCTGGTGCTTGCTTACTTAGTGGCATCCTGTGGTGTTCTAGACGAAGCCTCTTCACGGCAATGAGGATGCGACGATCCATCCGGCCAGCGGAGTTCACATTACCGTGCGCGCAGCTGCACACACGGATACCCTTATCTGGTTTTGACCGCCGGTCGAGGCGGTTGCCCGGGTGTGACCGCTAGACAGAGTCTAACGTGGGGCCGCCTCACATGAGGGTTGGGTGCCAGAAAATGGATGCTAGGCGTAGTCTGCACTTGCAGGCAAGTGAGCGACCTACTACGTCCGTCACGTGAACCCACCGCTGGGCTCCCCCACGTACAGTTTATTCGGTGTTTTCATGTAGGAGAATCCCCTGCAGCCTACCGTTACATGTAATTCGTCTGATGCACCATACTTCCAGTTCTTTATTTCCCTAGTGATAGCGTAGGCGGCTGCTTGCGGGTTCACCCCTAGCACTTCCAGATACTTGCCAAGCGTTCTAATGTATAGCCTGGATAAACCGTACCCAAAGATCTCTGAAGGAATGCGCAAAATTATTCAGGTTTTTAGAAGTTTGCTGACAAACTTATCCCTAATCTTCTGCTCGTGACACCCATGAACAATGTGTGTGTAAAATTTTCGTGCCAACTAAGCGCGCGTTTTTCCGTCCAGTGTGCCGCTCGACCATGGCGTACAAGGTTCCATTCGTGGCTATTGCCTTATTGTTTCCCTTCAGGAGGATATTCAGATCACCGCGACCGACCAGAATAATATAAATAGTTTTGCGAAATGGAACATTAAACTTAAAGAATATGAGGCCGAACTCGAGAACAAGAAAGTACGCGTCATTTGTCCATTGCAACTTTCAAGAAAACGTTATCAAACCTGGTAGATTTGGAAGATGAACTAGTCGTGTCGGATGCCGATATTCACCCGTATCCTTTTGCTATCGGGTTTTTTGGTAGATGTTCGGTTCTGTGCAGGCCATGCCTTCTTTCTTTAACCAGAAAAGGGCCCATGATTTTCGTTGCTGCGACACAGCGCTCGAGGCATAACTGCATTGTTAGGGCACTTTTCCTTCATTTACCTTCTATGGTTTTTGTTAGTATAATTCTACTTAACGCTTGATCTCTTCGGAATGCGATTCGAATGGACTGCTAATCGAAGTAGATCACCGAGCTTGAAGCTAGCATTTGAGCAAATGCTGTTCGAATGGCCTTGGTCAATCCCACACATGATACTTCACATAGTCCGAGCCCAATGCACGAGGAATTTAAAGTTAGCTGGGATGTGTTCCTCCAGACAAACCCGCACTCCCCATACTCACCTGCTTGCCCATTGCATCGTTGTCTGTGACTTTTTGATACAGGACTTTTGTGACTGAAAGAGTCGAAGGTGGTAGTTTATTTTCCGAAATCAAATGCATGTGTCTTCATGTGTCTTACTGTAAAAGATAGAAGGCAAGTATTTAATTGTCTGCTGACATCACTCAAATAGCACTCTTCGACAAGTGCTCGGTACACCACTCGGCAGGTCGCAGGCTCTCACACTAACCAATTTGCATCCTCAGGAAAACACTCGAAGGTGAAAAGCAGGACAAGCGTGCCAAATTGCGCTGATTATGTTACTCTTCCACAGAGAAACGGCCTTAGACCCGATCTCTGACATTACTCTGACGGTGGAAATATTCCTTGCCATGCCGAGTGTTTTCTAGCGCTTATTAGAGCTGATCAGAACTCGCCTAGTCCTTCTTCAGTTGCATTTTATCATCCCTTTACCACCGTTTTGTGCACTAATCGTTATCCCTATCCGAGTCGCGTTAATTTTTCTCGAAAATTTCGCATTCTTTGACGTGCGTTTGGTTATATCATCACCCGCCACTGTCTACCCAATTGCCCTGGTTATGCTTGTTCTTCTTAGACTACCGCCCATAAGTGGAACCGTAGAGAAATATAGTGAGTGGGACATCTTGAATGCGCCTGTTTAAATTCGCATCTTACGGAGTCAATCATTTATCTAGGTCTTAGATCATGGTCGCTTTTGGGTTATTAGCAGCTTCTTGCTTAACATCGCTGGGGGTTGGTTGTTTTTTTTCACGCATTGTTAGACCATAAGCACCATAGCCAACCATTTCGGTTCCGTTAAAATCGAGGGGGAAATTAATGCACCCTACTCCTCATGGGTAAGGAATTCACCACAGTAGCAGAAGGGTAAGTACATAACTATGGGTGGTTACTGTACAGTTGCACCGCTCGTGCGTTACCAAAGTTAGGGTATATTCAAGTATGCGGGCATGTTTGTGTCAGTGTCCAGAAACCGAACGATCGATTCGCTGACATGTGATTGCCCTGGGTCGTCTGGCTGTGCTAATGCATCTCTACTGCATTCGACTAAGGCGGTGATCTAGTAGGTCTTGGCGTGGCGAATTGGTGGTGGGAGACTTGTAGTTGATGTAAAAGTGGATAAGGGTCGTGTGCTTTCTGTTAATTCCGATTGCCATGAACCTGTGTAAGGTTTTGGCTGGCTTTTACGACCGGCCTCAGGTAGGCGGTTGTTAGTTGCAGTTTATCGGAAAATATAGTAAAAACCACTTAATAACTGATCTTTCATGACATTCCCTACAATTTGACATTTCCCTGTTAAGTGCGCGCGCACTGCTGGCGGTATTCTAGGACCTTGACGTGCGTTTTCCGGCATTTCTACTTTCTGTTTGACTGGGCGCCCCCTCCCGGGCCGCCCGTCACCCAGCCAAATATTGTGTTTTCATTTGAACCGTCAAAAGAGCTAATCTATTCTTCCTTTTTCTGGTTAGGAGTTGATTTTGGAACTAGCATGCTTTTGACGATTGAGTGCCTTCGCGGTGATGACCCCTTGTAGTCCTACTTAATGGGATGAACCTTATGCTTTCTATTTATCATCTGCCGTATGGACTATCTCTGTTCGCCAGGCTCTTTCTTATGTTCTGCACGTTCTTTTGCACTAACTTTTGGATGACTTTGTTGTGTACGTTGCGACGTTTTGTCTTAACTAATCTGTAGATATAAAGTAGGCGAGTCATTTTTCCATATCTCGACGGATGAAACCAATGCAAAAGTAGAGTCCGCGAAACAGGCCATCAAGGAGAGAATCGTGACGCTGGAGTCCGAGCTCGCAGTATGCAGATCAACCATGGCCACTCTGAAGAAAGAGCTCTATTTGAAATTCGGTGACAATATAAACCTAGAGGACTAGACCTTTACTTTTCTGGTAATGCCGAGGCACGGTCACCAAAAATGCAGTAGACATCATATATCGCGGATGTTTTCCACACTCCAGCTTCTTTCAAGTTACTGCTGAATGTAATTCCATCCTCATTGCCGAACGCCCTCAGTAGCCAGAAGCGTCATAGAAGTTCGCTGGCTGGTAAGGCTTTCCACACTATATCCGAGGCGTGGTGTGTGAGTTAATCGAGGGCGGGTAGTCATTTTGATCTATTGACAGCAGCACCAAATATCTAGCTGCAGGAGTTATTCCCGCTCTGGTGCTCAACTTTGTTTTGTGGCTCCACAGCTCAGCGACCATGCTAGGTAACTGCTTCGATTAGCTGGCGAAATGAACCGAGTATTAGCCGGTGTCCGCCCATCCCGCAAAACTGCGTAATTTTGTCCAGTCAGTAGGAAGGGACCGATCGTGCCGTGATACGCCTAGGTGAAGACTTGATATCAAATCGCCCATTGGGAACAACTGGTCTTAGAATCGTCTTGCCCTAGTCCTCGCACCTGAACATTATGCATGTAGTTGGGCTGGTTGGTGCACGCGTCTTCTAAGGCCCCTCAGGCCAGTGGTTATTGTATTTCCCCGACAAACTGGCGAGCATGAATTTGAATCCATCTACTGTTATCAGGTAGCTTCGTCTAGGCTGTGAACGTTCGGATACATGATCGCTATTGCAGGCATCTGGTCATTTCTCAAAATGCAAGAAATAGAAATCTGGATTGAGCTCGCTCACTGGGAGTTGTACTGCTGACGGAAAGTTCCATTGTGTCGCCAGAATTACATTTTTAGCTTAGGAAAACCTTTAGCTGTCTACGTTACCGGGTTGATACGTTTACTGTCGATTGTCCATTTCTGTTCGAGCACGCAAGGCGCAAACTAATCGAGTACCATGGTCGTATTTGGCATACAGGGTCTTTCGAAATTTTTTGGCAAATCCTTTAAACGCTGTAGATCTGCATAAGTTAATACATCTTAACGAGCCAGATTAAATAGTCCAGGCAGTTGGAATTCGGAGAACAGGGTGGCCGCGTTTGCAGTTCGAGGTTTACTTTATTTGACGATCACTTCTTGACTGTTTTGGCGGTGTGAGGGGATGCCTCGTCCTGCGATAAGGTCGCCCCTGACAGGTCCGGAGAGCCCCGTCAAATTGGTGGGAGAGTGTGTTGCTCTTCATTCTGACCTCGTAGCTTCCGTCCTGTATCCTCATTCCAGGGAGCTGGGCGGCATTTCGAGTCTGCCCGTCCGGATGCCATTGGTCGAAATAAGTGTTTATCTGGAACGTCATCGCGATGTACCTGTCAGTCTCCCTCTCGCGACTTGATCGTCGGCGAAAGACTAATCGCCCGGGAAGAGGATGCCATGTCTTTCGTTTTAGCCTGAGATGTCGGAGACGATAAGGGCCCTCCCATCCACGAACTGTTCCCAAGTCTCCTTGAAGACGCCCTAACCGAACGCTTGCTAACCTTAAGTTTATTGGCCTGCGCTATATGATCCAGGATGAGTTCTTAAGTCTGGCATTGACCTTGGGTTCGGTGGTGACTGTTGGGTTTTGCCTGCGCCTGACTTTTTACCTGGTAATTTTCACATTGATTACTGGCGAGACTGGAGAATGCTGACAAACCCCCTCTGACTGGGCGCGGCCCGCACAGTTTGATTACTTACAGGTAGGGAAGTTCGGACATTCCTGCATGGCGGTCGCGCAAATACTGGGTTTCTGAAAACTGCCTTTACGAATCATTTCGGGTCGTTGGTACGGCGTCGATTTCCGGGTGCTGTATTTTTACTCGAATTGATTCCTTATGTACACGACAGCCTTAGGAATATAGCTTTCTGTTTAGGAATGCTGAAAACTCTGTCCTCCCCAAAATAGGAGGCTGTTTTTAAAAACGCCGATTTGTCTACAGGCTGATGTCTTGCAAACCACGAGTTGTGAAACGAAGTAGAGCACAAATGATGGCCATTGGGCTCGTTCATGCCTGTAGACGCCTGAGTGTCACCGCTTAAGTCACTTTGGGAGGGCAGCCTGTATGTTGGACAGAGAGGGGGACTTCCCGCTAGCCGACAAAGTAGGAGCTTATCCTACAAAGTCAGTCGAACAAATCTGACACGATTCGACAATTTATCAACCACCTGCGCCTCGTGCGTGAATTTTATTTGTCAAAGTGGCTTTCGGCGCATCTGCCTCACTTCGCTCGCTTTACTTAACCGACAGATTGCATGTAGCTTCAGGAACTACGAGAGTAAACGTACTCGACCAGCTACTCGAGGGATTGGGAGGGATGATACCATCAGGTGTTCCTTCTGTGCAGAAGCCCGATGGCGATCTGAGCCCTGTGTGCGTGACCATTTCCAGACCTTCCCACGCTCCTCTGACCAGGTTTGAGGTGGGCACGGATATATAAGCACCTGCCCCATGTGAGGTTCAGAGTTCCTATGGCAGGTAGTTCGAAGGTTCCCTTGGCGTGTGAATGCCTTTGGTCAACCGTCCTCAAGTTATATTCCCACGTTTCATCCATATGGAAGAGATTCCCGGTGAATTGTGTGTGTGTTAGGGGGCGGAATGTCTATAGGCGCTTGAGGGGCCTGGTTCTTCTCGGCTATCGGCCGGAACAAGCCCATCTACCGTTTTTCCAAAATGTCTGCTCATGGTGTATATTGTCTAAGTAGTGCGTACACTCCATTGCTTTATCATGGGTCGCTGCAAATTTACTGTTCGTGCAGGACACCTTATGAATGCCGATGGTTTGTTATTCAATGGCCGGTGCAGTAAATTGCACCTGTGGGAATTATTCCTATGTCTAATGTTTGATGTTCAAGAAATGGGCACCGAAAGTAAACGAAGCCAGGTGATATAATTAAATCTGACCATAACATCCAATTCGTCCATACGTAATTATAATGACCACTCTGTGCCACTTGGTTTCGTCTAAACAGAAGAGCAACTGCTTCCAATCACTTTCCTACAAAGCAGTGGTGCCAAGCTGCAGCGTCGGTTGGTGAAAAGTAGTTCCCAAATGCTGAAATGCTATTTTGAGGGCTTGCGTACCAACATACAGAGGCAATGAAGACGAGATATTTTGCGTAATTCGGAAAAGAACTCAAGTCGCAGGATTGTCCAACCTCTAGCAAGAAATGCCACATTCAGAATCTGAGTGATTGCTGTCGAGTCTGCGATTGCCATGATGCCCCTGAACCAGCCGGACATATCATCTGGCACGAGGACTCGTAGAATTCAAGATTTGTTACGAGACTATGATCGGCACCGAGGCATTTCCTGAAAGCAGAAAACTAGCCTGACAAGTCAACGGAGACAATGAGTTGTGTGCGTTCATGTGACATACCGGAAACGGGTTGACCAAACACCCCTCTTCTCCTGCAAACTAGAAAAACTGATGTCAGAAAATGACGTTTTAAGGCTGCTGAATCAACAAGGATCTGCCACTCGCATTCCGGTTCTGGATGCGCATGCGTAGAGCTCTGGTGCCAAAGGCTCTGTACCAATCACCTCAGAATGTGCACGACATAAACCAACGTCGTAAACTGCATCAGGTTAAGTGCTCTACGTCGCATTTTGGTTTGCGTTTTGGTGAGTGAATTCGGATCACTAGCGCCTGTGATGACACTAAAGAAGTTGCTGATTTTAGGGAGGAGGAGTACATGCAAGCGTTATCCCCCCCCTTCCCCCCAGGACCTGAAACCGTCTTGTCCTCCCAGGGCAATATGTAGTTGCCTCAATTGACCCTACTGAATGACCTTTCCGGCGATTTTGATCCCTTGGACTTGAGTCTGCAAGATGCATAAGGAAACATATCCACATTCACAGGCAAACTGAAGGCATCTAAGGGGATGTAGGGCATCGTGTGGACGATATAGATTTGAGCCTGACACGTGACAGCTTGACCCTTCTTTTCAGCGGTGTCTGCCGTGTGTCTCCCAGCAGGGCGGACACAGGGACGGTGAGTTTCACGTGAATTAGTTTATGGTGGGAGCGGACTTGCGATGCATCTACGCACCCCCTTCTCCCACCTGGGCCCGGTGTCATGGCAGCGCCAAAAAGCTGGGGGCGAGAGAGGGAACAGATGACTAGCGCGGCGTGAACCCGTACCTAGGGGTGCCGCCACTCCCTGGTCTGCGCATAAATGACCGGGATTTCGCACAGCAAGAAGGGGGCCGACTCGGACGTTAATCTCACATATATGGCGGGATAGTAGCAGATTTTGCCTCTCGGCCTTTGCCTGTCACCTCGTAGCATGGAAAACGACTGATAGGCCCGCGGCACTCTGGATCTGTCCACCAAATGGACAAAATTGAAAAGACTGATCAAGATTATCGAACCCTTTCTAACGAGATGCATGGTTACTTCCCCATAACGAAAACTAATGGGGCAGACGATCGCGAAAAAGTTCCCTATTATGTCGTCGTTTTTCAGGAAGGACAGCAAGTCAAACATGCCCAAGTGGCAGTTGTACCGTTCAAAGACCTTGTGGTAGGCACATCACGCACTTATAAATTCTACGAAAGTCGTTCAAGGGATGAGTGGCCTAAGCATTTTAACTCATGTCGCGTTTATGAATCTACATGTACTCCTGGAAGGGTCAGTCTACGATGACTCTTCTTCATCGTGGCTTTTTGGGATTCTCACTGATGTGAGGTCCGCATTGTCTTTACCGTAGTCTAGTTTACGTGGTCAGATCAGCTCATGTGTGGCGGGTGTCGATGGACTGATAAGCCTTGTTAGTCATTGCGCTATCTGGTCGTCGCAACATTGTCTTGCCGTAGGTGCAAAGTTGGTAGGGGAGGAGCGCACAAGTCTAATTCACAAGCAGGTCACCGATGCTGAGCCTACTCCGTGAGCCAAGCCCTGGACGTCGCCGCTTACGACGGCAAGGCTGTCTCTTCTGAGTGCAAGTGCATCAGACGAACATAAAGGCATGTGACAACCAGGTCATTTGGGAAGTTTTTTGTGTGGCTGCTCAGGCCAAGAAGCAAAATCCCCATGCTTCTTTAATGGGGCACCCGTTAGGTATTGAAAACAGATCCAACCCTCATTCCGGAGCCCGTACCCGATCTTGCGCACTGTCTCCAGTTTCGGCATCTTTACTCAGCCAGTCACTGTATTTATCACAGCACCCATCAGAGACTTCTCTTCCGTGTCCCTAACGGTGTTGCGCGTTAGAACGTCGACCAACCACACATTCAGATCAGATTTATTGAGGGAAAGGTAGGCGAGCGCCCTTGAACTCCCTTTTGGTTACAATAACATCATAAAAAACAATGTGTAAGGCAAGTGTCGAAGAAAATTAGGTAGTGAATCACATATAACAAGCTTTGGTTACTGGTATAAATTAGTCTGTGAATGCCTTCCATGTCAAAATTATACAATAGCCAGTACGCGGTACTGTATGAACCAGGTAATATCGAAGCAAACGTATATGCTTCGGTCAGGAGATAACGAAAAGTTTAGGACGTAGCATGCTTTGTGACGTACAACTTTGGGGGCGGATGGCACAGGGGAAAATTTGTCAGTTTCTGATTCCGTGGAGATACATATCCCTGTACTGGTCAAGCTTCCTCTTAAATGTGTCCACGGATGAGGACATGACGACGTCCACAGGCAGGGCATTCCATTCTGTGGCTGAAGAAGGACTTCCTTGCGCCCCGTCTCGCCCCTGTCACACGTAGTTTCAGAGGATGTCCTCTCAAGCTAGTAGTGGTGGCCAGCTCAAAGAAGTCGCCGGATGCGAGGCAGCAATCCTGACCCCGTAGCATTCGAAACGTTTGAATTAAGTCGCCACACAGTTGTCTGTAGTTTAGGGGAAAGAGGTCAAGATTGGGCAGTCTAGTTTTGTAGGGTAGGTTTGTATCACTTCTGACAAGCTTGGTTGTCCGTCGTTGGACGTTTTCGAGGGTGGTTCGATCTTTGACAGACCAGGGTCTCCAGGCCTGAATGGCAAATTCTAACTGTGGACGCACAAACATCCCGACGACTTTGCGAAATCACACTTCGTCGAACTTCTCAAATGCCCGCTTAATGAGATATAAGCTGGACATTGCGTATTTCACTGCTTACAAACAGTGGAACGATGGCTTTAATGAAGATGTTATCCACACACCTAGATCCTTCTGAACCTCTACCACTGGCAGCGGTGTGTGATTTAGATAGCACGTCTTCCGATGCGCAGAGCTGGTTCTGCCAATTCTTAGAATGTCGCATTTGGTAACATGAAATGGGAGGAGCCAGTGGCCTAACCATTGTTCGAGTCGGTCCAAGTTTGCCTGTAGATTTGCTTCATCGTCCTCGTTGCGGGTGACGGTCCGAAGCTTTATATCGTCAGCAAACATGACAGTGCCGCAGTTCAACCCATGGATGCAGTCATCAATATAGATGAGGAGGAGGATAGGGCCAAGAACGGGGCTCTGAGGTACTCCGCTCGCAACCATCACCTCTGCCGATTGCTGGCCACCAAGACGGACAGTCTGAGACCTTAGTCTGACACGCTGTCGAAGGCCTTCTTGAAGTCTATATAGGCGACATGCACGTTTCCTTCATCAATCGCTCGGGTCCACTGTTCAAGACAGTGGAGTAGATTGGTCAAGCAGGACCTTCCTCTGCGGAATCCATGCAGTACATCAGAGAGAAGATGATGCCGCTATAAAAACGCATCAGTTCGCGTTTGATAATTCGCTCCATAACTTTGCAGCATATGGAGGTGAGGCTTACTGGTCGGTAGTGGTTTGCGGAAGCGCGACTGCCACTTTTATGTATCGGCGAAATCCACGCAGTCTTCCACTCAGGAGGCAGTCTGCCTGCATCAAGAAAGACTTGGAAGAGAAGACATAGAGGTTCTGCCAATTCTATGGTTAATTTCTTCAACAACTTTGTTGTTATTTCATCAAGACCGGGCGACGTCGCTTATTTTAGCTTCAGTAGTTCCTGCTGAGAAATAGCTTTTGTGAGAACCGCTGAGTCAATTTTCGGGACTTCGTCCACATTATAGTGATCAGCGGTTACAGGGACTTCTCCCGTAAGAACGACTGAAAGAACCTGGACAGATGCTCAGCCTTTTCGTCATCCTTGTAAAGTTCAACGCCATCATCCCTTTTTAACAGAGGGATGGGATCCCTGTTGCAAGTACTTTTCTTATGTGGTTGAAGAAAAGCGTTGGGCTTTCTCCTGCAGTTTAAAAGGTTAACCTCGAAGTCTTGGTGGGCTTTTTAAGCAAGGCACTTTACCCTATTCTGCTGAGCGTTGTACCTTTTCCTTGATTCGACTGTCTTATCCCCGAGATAAGCTTTCCACAGGTTTTGCTTACGGTCTACTTCAACTCTTAGTGTACCCTTTAGCCATCGGGGCCTGCTGGCGATTGTTTTTCGACATAGGGCAGTATCTGGTGATAAGTTCATTCAATACGGCCCTATGTTCTAACCAGTTCCTGAGAACTCACCCCGTGAATGCTGCTTTTCAGTCTCTACGAGGCATGTTGAGAGGCATTTGGTTGAAGTCACCACGCTATATGTTGCGCCTGATAACGATGCTTTGATCGAGTACAGAGAAGAGAGAATACTCCCACTGTAGGACTACATGGTCGCTTTTTCCGAGATGGGATAGACAGTTTACGACCTCAACGCTTTCAGGTGCCTTTGCCAATACACGGTCTAAGCAGTTAGCTAGTTGCCCTTCACGTAGTCTGGTTGGAGATAAGACGTGTTGTGTGAAATGCGATCTTTGTACTGCTTGTAGGAGGAGGCGATCAAAGTTAAATTCTGAGCTTGGGGCAGAAGTCAGATTCCAGTCGATATTCGGAGCGTTAAAGTCGCCCATAATCATGACATTGGGTCGGATCAAAATCGCTTCTAATTTCCCTATTAGACTACTGTCTGCTTGCGGGTCGTTCTTCGGTGGGCGGTAGACCGTCAGGATCTCGAGAGGTTGTGGCCCCGGCGTTTTTATAGTGAGCCAAATTGTTTCGGCTGTGCGCGCGAAATGTCCCATTTTTTCTGACGCAAAAAGGCCATATTTGACATATGTGAGCACGCCTAGGTGCGGCTTCGGCCGCGCTTGCCACCCTTTTGTTGTTGGTCAAAAACCTGGCCGTTTGCTGTGTGAACCAGGGGGTGTGGGGTTGGGTACCAAAGTATGGGATCGACCCTGCCATCTACCTCCCCCTCTCCCCGTCTACTGTCTACCTGACTCTGTCTTGACACCGGCTACAGGTGGTGAGTGGGGAAGAGAGAATGCATTAGATGCAGCGCAAGTCTACATCCAATATAAAGTAATTCACGTGTAATTCCCCGTTCCTGCTTCACCTTGCTGTGGAGCACATGGTTGACATCGTCGGATGCGACGGCTGAACTGGTAAACCAACAAGCAAATCAATCTGCCGACCGTTTGTCCGACGCTGCGGGAACAAATCAGTGGCGCAGTTGAGGAGTATCATCGACGAAAGTGGGGCAAGTATCCAGGGAACTGAACTGCAGCGACAGCCAACCCGACTTGCTCTCTCCTTCGTTTAAGATGACAAAAAGCCGCTAGTGTATCGTGGTGTCTGAAGTGGATTTCATGGATTAAACTAGAGTGGATTCTCAAATCGGTGCCCCTCCAAGTCAAAAAGATACGATAAACGAGCAACAGCTTCAGAGATGATATGTCGCGCATTTTCTGCATCTGAACTCCAGGAAACTTTGTGTTTTCCGGAGATTTCTTGAAATTTGCTTAATATAATGTGCGGCTGCACAAAGAGTTAAAAACGGTTAGACCCAACAACAGTCGAAGAAGGTGACGAGCGCGACAACGGAAACACCGCTAAGAAGGAAGCAAAGTCCGATTCGAACTATACGTCAACGTATATTTTTTTCGCCCTGACGATGGGCTAGCGTGAAACTTCAAGACGTCAGAGGAATAGGTGAAAGGCCCGGCGACCACTTTCCCCTCTTCCTCTCGTAGTCTGAAAACAGGATTTTACCTCAACGGAAATCGTGTGAGGTCATCTATGAGAGCATTCTCGAGAAACCATGGCGCAGATCACAATCAGGGCGTTCACCGACTTCGAGAAGGTTACCCCTGGTTCCACTGTCATTGACGTACGCCGAATGTACACCTGAATTCTGCTTAATAATTCCCTAAAGTATGCTTACAAGAGGTATGGGTATAGTAATGCTTACGACTACGACCTATCATTCTAAACCATAGTAAGCACATGTAACTGCGGCCTTCGAGCTTTTTTTACCTCTTCCAAGCGCCTCGACCTTAACCGCGTCGCAACCGGCATAAGGCAGGGAAAAACTTTTCAATACCAGGGAAACTCGATTTATTATCAACAGTTATGTTGATTAGTACCCCATAGACGTTTTAACCGTCTGAATTTCTGGCGGCTGGCTTTTTCCTAAAGAGCGGGTTTCGGAAGATCTAAGGCTTTTCCAAGGCTTGCTCAACACTACCCTGGAACCCACTGAGGCAACTGAAGTACTCAAAGCCTTCCGTCTCGGAAAACGGACAAACCATCTGCCAACACCAACACGGCCCCGACCTCTCAAAGTTGAGCTGGCTTGTAAGGAGTAAGCTGGGTTGATTCTATCTCGGCGCTCTAGAATAAAAGGCACCAACCCCGGCGTTTTTTTCAACCGGATTACTCGCCAGCAGAGAGGCTGAAACGTCGTCTTCTAGTTCTAGAGCTGAGGAAGAGACTCAGCGAAGGAGAACGGATTTGGTTATCTACAACAACCAAATCAGACAGCGCCCATCATTCTTTCTTTGGACGGGCCCGATCCGGATGACCGCGCAACTGGAATAGTAGGCGGAAGTCCTAGACGCATCGAAATTACTTCTCTGACAGCCATTAATCGTAAACTGAAATTTCTATATACAAATGTGCAGAGCATGTTATCGAAAGTTGACGAGCTAAAGATCCATCTATCTGATCTATCCCTGGATATAATCTCACAGAAACTTGGCTGAACCAGCAGGTGGACAACCGTGAGTTCACTATACCAGGATACCAGCTGTTTAGAAGAGACAGGTCAGGACGTCAGGGCGGAGGCGTACTCACGTATGTAAAACACGGGCTTAGAGTCTCAGACAAAACAGATAAACTTTCGTGTACTTGTGAGGCAATTTGGCTAACTATAAACGCACCGGGTTCACCAAGCCTTGACGCCCTGACGGTCTACCGACCGCCGAGAAATGATCTCACGAACTATGCCAATCTGATTGAGGACCTGGAGAGATTCTCTATTCGGTCCGAGGTCATAATCACGGGAAACTTCAATGCACCTCATATTGACCGGAGTTCAGCTTAGGCATCTGGTCCGCATAATACTTTCGAACCGCGTTTGCTGGACATGACGATCAGGTTATTTCTCATTCAGTATGTCTCATTTCCGACTAGAATAAGCGATGGGCAACAGTCAAACTGTCTGGATCTGGCTGTTACGAAGTCGCTGGACAGAATTGATGAGTTGCAGTGTATATCTCCCTTAGGCCGAAGCGACCACGTCGTACTCTTGTGGGAGTACTCCATTTTTTCTCTGTCCGAACAGACTATCAGAGTTAGAAGGAACATTTGGCGCGATGACTTTGTCCAAATGAAAGCTGAACTAAATACCATAAACTAGGAATCAGCTTTTTCCGATGATATAATCAAGGATAGGGACTGGTTTAGTGGGTTACTGCACGTTCTTCTCAGAGACCTCTGTCCTATTTCACGGAAGAAACTGAACAGCAGACCCCCGTGGCTAACACAAACTTTAAAAAAAGAAGTGAATAAAAAGCGGAGGTTATGGAGAAAATTCCTCTCGGATAGGAGCTATGTGTCGATAAATGCGCAAAAAGCACAGAGGAACCTAGTAAGGCGGTCAATCCTCGGGACGCGGCATACTTTCGAGAAAGACCTACTGAATCGAGCCGCAGAAAATCCGAAGTTATTCTATGGTTACATAAGAAGCGCACGAAACAGAGACTCAATTCCGTTATTGAAAACTAGTGACGACCTAGAACTCAGTGAATCCGGAGAAAAGACCGATCACTTTTCACAGTTTTTTAAGTCCATCTTTACGAAGGAAAGCACATTTCTCCCTCCCGACTGCGACATAGTGGACGGGCCAACGATTGAGCACGCCTCTTTCGCCGAAGCTATTGTTCACAAAGAACTGTTGACACTGAATGAGTCCAAATCACCTGGGCCGAATGACATACCGCCGAAACTGTTGAAGAAGCTTGCTGGAGACCTATCTAAACCGCTGTCCATGCTCTTCCAAACTCCGTTCGAAGCAGGCTATTTGCCCGCCGATTGGAAATCCGCGCGGATCACGCCAAATTATAAAGGTGGCAGCAAGGTCTTAGCAAACAACTGCAGACCAATCAGCCTTACTTCAATTTGCTGCAAAAATATGGAAAAAATAATCAAGCGAGAAATAATGCACTTCCTAGAAGAGCATAATCTGCTATGCGATGCCCAGCACGGGTTTCGTAGAGGCAGATCATGCGTGACAAA